TGGGAGAGACCCTGTACATTGAGATGAACAGATGTAAGTCATCCTCGAAGACCACCAGAGCATGGCAACTTCCTCATGTATGTATAATAGAGACCTCTTGTCAGATGGTATTTCTCAAACTGGGGTGCTTGTTCCCAATGTTGTGATGTTGGCTTTTCAAACTGATAATCTTTTACACATTTTATCAGTTATGAAGGAAAAATCTAGTAGCAATGATATTTCTCAAGTATATCTTCATAGACTTCAACTCTTGTTTCTTAAAAGTCTGACAATCTCTTTTTTAATGTTTAAAAGGAATCTCCTTAAGTTTGAGGAATACTGTTTGGTATTGTGCCTGGGCATTTGAGAGCATGAATGTGGTAGGGCTGGGTTGCCACCTTAGGCGAGAGGACAGGAGTCCACATTGGGTGGTGTGAGGGCTTGTGCTCTGATGCACCTGCTCTTCTCAGCTCCATAAACAGGCAATGGCCCCTAACACAGAGCAGATGCTTTATCAGGAACCTCAGTCCAAAATTCTCCAAGGAATCTGAGGACTGAATTTTTAGTAGACTTCTGACTTCAATTCCAAAGGAGGAAGATATGTGGGTTACAGAGCATCATACAGTTGCCTAGAAATCAAAAACAGAAAATGGCCTAAAAGAAAGTGAGGAAGCTGGGATTTCAGGGTAGTTTCCATTACTATACCTTCACCTATGCGATTACACGTAACTTGTCCACTTTTTTTGCTGTTTAATTTCCCCATGTGTCCAATGAGTGTTCATAGAGAAAAGATCGTTTCCAAAGCGTCACTAAGTGATAACTGTGTATGGAGCTATTTTTTTTTAATTTCAGTTTATTGCGAGGGTACAAACAACCAGATCACAATTTTTGAATTTTTTAGGTAGTCCCCCTAGTAGTTGTGTCCTGCACCCCAAAGATGTGCCATATACCCCTCCCTTGTGGCCTTTAAGAGGGAGCACCCCAACCTCCCCCTTATCCTCTGTCCCCCTCAACTTAAGGAATAGAATTACGTTTTTCTCCTAAGTGGGCATGTGTTAGATTGTCTACTGGCTTCATAATAAAATTGAATACATTGGACACTTGCTTTTCCATTCTCGTGATACTTTGCTAAGAAGGATGTGTTTCAGCTCCATCCAGGTCAATATGGTTGAATAGCATTCCATGGTATACATATACCACAACTTGTTAATCCATTCCTGGGTTGCTGGGCATTTAGGTAGTTTCTGCATCTTGGTGATTATAAACTGAGCTGCAATGAACATTCTAGTGCAAATGTCTTTATGATAAACTAATTTTTTTTTCTTCTGAGTAGATGCCTAGCAGTGGGACTGCAGGGTCAAATGGGAGGTCTAATTTGAGTTCTTTGAGGATTCTCCATACTTCTTTCCAAAGAGGCTGTGTTAGTTTTCAGTCCCACCAACAGTGTAAAAGTGTTCCACTCTCTCCACACCAGGGCCAGCACCTGTAACTCTGGGACTTGGTGATGTGGCTATTCTCTCTAGGGTTAAGTGATATCTCAGGGTGGTTTTGATTTGCATTTCTCTGATATTTAGGGAGGATGGCCATTTTTCATATGTAAAAACATGGAATGTTTCATGAGTCTGCATGTCCTCCTTGCTCAGGGGCCATGCGGTATCTTCTCTATATTGGTCCAGTGTTAGGATACGTGCTGCTAAAGAGAACCACGTCTGAAGCTATTTGTAACTCACATGTAGAGAGTGTTACTGGGAAATGTAAAACACACTTTGTATATTTCCATTTATTGTTATGGACAGGTTACGAGCTCACTGCCCCCGGTTTAGGTTTAGAAGCAGAACTAAATTGGTACACGCAGATACACACAGGTCAGAGCCACAGTTTAAATCCAGATCTTCCTAACTCCACAGAATTTAGGTCTCCAGTTTTAATAACCTATCTCTATCAGTAAAATATATCTGAGCACAGAACTCTAAAGTAGGGGGCAGGGCCTATGGCTCAAGGAGTAGGGCGCCAGCCCCGTATACTGGAGGTGGTGGGTTCAAACCCAGTCCTGGCCAATAACTGCAAAAAAATAAAAAAAATAAAAAATACATAAAGTAGGAACGTTTCTGTACAAATTACATACATGTCCAACTGATAATCCACATATCAGTATTATTAAA